ATTTCCTAATCCCTTTAATTGAAAGCGGAATAAATCATGCATTTTTTGTTAATTTAACGAAATATGCTCGTTAACCCCACGAAAAATCACTGATTATCTATGTATTAATAGCACGCATGCAATTAAAACTACCAATCAGAATTCAGAAAAGGAGCCAAATCGTTTGATTGCGAAACTATAATGCAGACTTACCCAAGGTATTTCCAGTCGGCCATGAAACATGCACAAACATTTACATCACAGATACGCATCTACAAGTACATATAAACAACAAATGAATAAAAGTAAATTGGTGAAGTAAACATTAAGCCAGCTGACTCATGGAGCAACATAGGAAACAAAAATTTAACGTGAATAAATTAAATGTTTTATATGTAAAATATTTAGTATTAGGACTACAAATGTAAAAAATGTAAACGTCAGTTGTGTTTGCCAATTCTAAAAAGTACGTTATATCAAAACTGTCTCACACGAGACAAGTTTTCTCCAATATTTATACATGTTATATTGTCTCTCATACCTGTCTATACTTTTCGTGAGAAGTAATGTTTTCATGACGTCTCCTTCTTCTAGTATTCTATTAGCAATATGTTCAGTACCTTACAGTTGCAAATATTTCGTGCAAACAAACGATGCAAGGCCCACTAAAATATATATTTTTTAGAAGCCATACGTCATCAAATGTGGGCTTCGGATGGTAAATTTGTGCTTGAATTTCTCAAAATTTAAATTATTCTTAAAAGGAAACGAAAACATATTGTACGTAACATGTGTTTAAAGGGGGTATAATTGCACTCGTGGTATACGAAAGTGATCTTATACTCGCATAAGAAAACTCACTCTTATCGTCACTCGTTTTCTTGAATGTAATTAAATGCCTTAGTGTATAAAATAATTTATACACTCGTTTCGTTAATAACAGAATCTTGACTTTTACCACAACGTCATATTAGGACCTGGTGGTGGTACAGAATGGCCAAAATTTCCCTTACTTGTTAACTTCCTTCTCCCTTTAGACTGCTTTCTATTTCGTTTGACACACCCTCTATGCTATAAACTGGCGCCTAAAAATCATTACCCTCGTTTTCTCAATTTTTCGAATCCCTAATAGTGGTTTTATTAGTATTATAGAAGGATAAAGCTTGAAATTACATGTACATTTTCGTGGAAACGTATGGAACAGTTATGTCGTTTGTGCATTTCTGAAAATGCCATTTTAATCCCATTTTCACCAAACACGTTTAGGTTTCGAGAAATTTCATAAAAAAATATTTGAAGCAATTGTACTCACAAATTCGATAATGCTCATAACGTAAATATTAACACCGTGAGAAATATTTCAAACTAGTGGTGCTAAAGAATGACTAACTTTCTCGTACTAGTTAGTTTTGTAATCTCTTTAATCTAGGATAGCTTTTTGGTTTTGCCCCACCCTCTTCCCACCTGCCATCGGTTGCAGACACATTTTCACATTTTCTGAACTTTTCACTTAGATCAGAAATGAAATATAACCTGAAGAATATTGTAAAAGAATGAAAAATGGCCCTTAAGCGTAGTGTTGAAAAATCTTAAGGCATTTTTGAGAATATGCCTTTTTAAACTTTATAAAAAAGTGCAATTGTAAGCTAACTTTCAGAGAAACCTTTTGAGTTTCCGAGAAACTTCATTGGAAATACCTTGAAGCACTTCTATTTATAATTGAAATAATGTATAAAAACGTTTTAAAATTACATTTGTGTAATTTATGAAAAAATTATAAATCAAAATTGCGTTAATGCCATTTTATTCAGTGCATTTAATACTATCCGTACAAAAAGGTTAAAAAATTAGAGCCGTCTTTCAGAAAATGATGCATATAAGGAAAAAGTTTGTTGTATTTCGGTTCTTTTCGACCTTGATGAAATTTTGCAAACTTCATCTTCAAAGCAAAAGTAAAATTAATGTTTACGTGCGATATTAATAAAGTTTCTTTTCCCCTTTTCAAGAGGATTAAGTAGAATTGAAGTGTGCCTTTTTTCATATTTGTATGGTAATATTAAAAATTTGAAAGCATTTGAAACAGTTGAACGATGCGTTGTAAGCGGATGACCTTTGCACGAAATGTAAAAAGGGGAAGATTGAGGTTTTGTCATAACTTACTTGCGCATTTCACTAGATGAGGAAAAGCTCTCATATCTTCCTTTACATCAATAACCTTGTTTATTATTTTATTTTATTTCATTAGAAAGTACAATTTTCACCTGTAATTTTCTCTTTGATTTTGAAATTTCTTCTTGAACAGACGACGATGATATAACGCTACCTCCAGGAGAATATACCTACCACTTCGCCCTAATTCTACCTCAAGAATTACCATCGTCTTTTGAAGGCAGTAATGGA